ACACATTAGGAATTGCCAATGGACTACCAGCACAGAGGTCTTACCATCAACATGAGGTTGAAATGTGTGCTCCGAGCCAGTTTCACAGCTTCCTCTCCATTCTTGGCCACCTCGGCCTCGATTCCAAACTTGCTCAACCACTTCTGGCTCAGTGCACGAGACACCATGTCATCGTCGACGACCAGCACCTTTGGCGTCTCCTTCCAGATGATGACAGGGAAGCTAGACTTTGACTTGCTGAACCGACGCGCCTTCTGTGTGCGAGGACCAGGGCCGCCGCCGGCGCTGGGCGGAGAGTTCGAAGGAGGTGAGGTGGATGAGCTTGTCTGAAGCATGGGGCCGACACTCATTAGCGGCGCGCCAGTGGAATCTTGCAATGTGAACACTGGGAAGTCGAGTGCCGACAGAGCCTCCATCGTGGCAGGTGAAGGTGGCATTCCCAAAGTGGAGAAGAAGTCTGCCGTGGACACAACCTGCGCTGAGCCATTTCCCAATGCATCAGTTAGGTCTGGAATCATTCCGGCAGCCACAGCCGCAGCCTGAGCCTGTACTCGACCAAACGACCTCGGCGTAAGGGGTAAAGAACCGCTGGCAGCAGGGTCGGGCAGGAGGTTGCTCATTCCGTAGACCGCACCGAGATCCTGAGGCGGTGGCGGAACGGGCGCTTGTTCCATCGGCATCTCCACCTGCATCCCCTGCATCTGCATAGAACCGTTGGCCAGAGTCGCCTGAGGGTTCACATGAGTGGGAGAGGTCTGTTGGCTGCCCGGCATTCCTCCATAGTTGGACATCATACTAGGCTCGGACTTCATGCGCATTTGAGCCTCTGCCTGAGCTTGAGCATTCTGCGCCTGGTGCTGTGCAACAGCCTGCGCTTGCGCTTGTGCATTTGCCTGTGCCTGTGCCCTCGCCTGGGCTGCCTGCATCTGCATTTGCGCGTGCACCTGAGCTTGCGCCTGGGCCACCTGAGCTGCTTGCACTTGAGCGTCGGCTTGTGCTTGCATCTGGGCTTCGGCTTGCGCCTGCATCTGGGCCTCGGCGTGCGCCTGCATTTGGGCAGCTTGTGCTTGTGCTTGTGCTTGTGCCTGTGCTACACCGTTCAACGAAGCGTTTCTTGCCCGTACCGAGGACGGTGAGTGAGACGGAGAGGTGTTCGCGCTCTGCTGCTGCTGGACGACCGCCGCCTGCATTTGACCGCTCATTTGTACCGTCCCATAAGAGCCGTCAGAGTACCGTACGGTCTGGGTCATGCCATTCATGCTAGGCTCGACCTTTGTCTTGTTGCCCACAGTGTAGCCCATAAAGCCGCCCAACACAGAGTCCTGCTCAGCCAGCGCTTGACGAACAGAGATGAGCTCGTCGAGCGAACGTTGATAGAGGGTCATCAATTCGTTTACTTGTCGCAGCGAACCTTCCAGCTTCCGATTGAGATCCGTTACTTGGTTTTGCAGGGTCGAGATGAGGGTTGAGTGTTGCGCGAGTTGAGCCCCAACAGAGGTCGGGATGGCGCTTCCGGTCGGTGGTGTAGGAACGCTAGATGGGGGCGCTGGAGCGGTCACAGAGTGTGTGCTCGGAGGCGATGGTGGATGCACGCCATTTGTCGTCGGAACCGTCGCACCGTTCGTCGACGGAGGACTTGGTGCAATGTTTGGCGTGCTTGGGCGAGCCTTCTTCGCTGCCGGCACTTTCCGCTTGATGTTCTCCAGCATGTCCTTGCGATCGGCCCGAAAATCCGGATGTTGAAAGGTCCAGCTCTGCAAGACAATGATTAGGCTAGATGGTCCGCTGGGAGGAGAAGAGTGCGCATACATGCTCCCCGAAGGTCTCATCCGGGTTCTTCACTTTGTGGAAGTCGTACTTGTTCAGCTGTCGCACGAACGAGGCGAAGTTAGAGTGCTTGAACAGGCGCGGTAGGATCGTCTTTGTGAATTCGGTCATATCGCGAACAACGAACGCGTCACCGACCGGGTTCCAGGAGACGACGGGAGAGAAGTTGGGATCCTCCAGCATCCTAAGAGGGTGGATCGTCAACATGGGATACGCAAACACGAGGCGATAAGGAACGCACCTGAACAACTTCTTCACAAAGTCGCTCGTCGCCGGCAAGCTGTCATCGTCCTTCAGCTGGGCCGCCGCGGCCGCGGCAGCCGCATTGATGCCGGCCGACGTGCTTGCCCTGCTCTCCGCCATTGGCGGGAGCTGCCCATGACCCGAGGAGCGCGGCGGGGGAAGGTTCGATGGGTGCCCATGGTCGGCATACCCATGGTGGGACGGAGCAGAGGTCGTGGGCGTGGGGAGTCCGCCGGCATAGCCATGCTGGTGCTGTGGGTGAGCGGACGGCGGGGGTGGGTAGTGTTGGGGAGGGTAGCGGCCGCCCATTGCGAGCATGTGTGGACTCGGGAGCTGTGTGCCGCCTCGTGGCGGGGGAGGGTTCTGCAGTTCGGGAAGGTGCCTGCTGGTCGCGCTGATGGGCGGCAGTGTCGTGTTCGAGTATGACGCGCTCTGTGGCTGCATGGACGCGTGGGGGTAGGATGATGATGAAGTCCGTAGGGGCGGGGGCGCGGGGGGAAGATGCGGCGGACCGGGATGGGGCGGGCCCGGCGGAGCCTGGTAGTGGGTTGCCGATGTCGGGGGATGACCGCCGTACTGATAGCCTCTGGCGTGGGGATACGCTGCCATTAGCTCCGAACGAGATGTCTCACGAGAGGGCGAGGCGGGCTAGGCAAGGACGATGGGGGAAGAGAGGGTGACCCTTGAAGTGAACGAGGGGAAAGGGGGGAGGGCCGAGGTGGGATCGAGACCTTGCCTAGACTTGAAGTGCTTTCAGCTTCCGCGTGTTCGCGCCAGCTCCACCCTTGGGATCAAAATCTTCACTCCGGCTCACCTTCTCCGTCCTCCAATTGGGCCTCATCTTGCCTCGCTGCCGCAATCCCCCACTTTACGTCACATGCACACGCACACTCTGTTCGCTCTCCTTTCATCCCCGGGTCCCACGGCACCGCTTTCCACCTCTCCGGCGCACTTCCTATTTCAACGACCCTTGCGAGACCCAGAACAGGCACATCCCTGCACTATCCGGAGCCAAGCTTATCGGAGTCTCCTCACGCGCGCATGAAATGATATCATCTACCTCCGCCTGCGCGCCCATACATATCCCATCGCTCTGATTCTCTCCAGCTTCTAGCGCTGGTTCTGCCCATAACGACCCGAGTTCCGGCACTTCTACCAAGTACTGAATGCCTCCTATGCGACTGAATGTGTCCGCTCGGCATAGTGCGTCACCATCTGAATGCATTGCAGTTTAGACCACTTGCTCCGCTGGACCAATCAACGCATCTCTCGGGCCGGACCTTGCAGAAGACCGTAAGCACGGGTGAACGATTCACAATCTCTTCAACCCCTGAATTGATAGCATCGGCTAAACTACACTTTTACAACTGGAGGTCGGGCATGGGGCTTGTTCTGGAAGCAGCATCTGACCAGTAGTGATGGAACCCATCCTGTCGATTCTCAGGGCGAAGCAGCGCTGCTTCCTGATCTTTCGACCGATTCCCGAACATGCCCTTGAGCCCATGTGCTTCATCTTCTGCCATCAGCTCGCTTCCTATCAATCAGACTACCTTCAAAATTGGGCTTGGCGTGTTGACGTCCAAAGCCCGCATGAACAGCACATCCTCTCTGTCGAACGCGGCACACCAGTGGGCAGGCGAGCCTCTGAATCATCAGCACAAAGTCCGCACCAGCGCCGACAAATCGGTCAATCAGGGACGAGCCGGCGGCATGCACATAGACTAACTGACAACATTGCGCTGCCTTAGGTTCCGTAAACAACTTGAATGTGACGCTCTTGCAATGACATGAACCGGGTAGAGCGCTTCCTTAGGGTGCTCGGGGTCTACTGCGACATACCGAGAAGTGTGCTAGTCAAGGTCGTTGGCCTCTTACCTTCGTAGTGCGCCTGTCTCCCATACTTCAGGGAGTAGGGAGCCGTGAGATGGCAATATATGCGTCGTCAAAGTGTGGATAAGGCCCGCCTAGTACATATCTCGGTACGGCGATCATCTACCATTCCATTCTGGACATCGATCGTTATGTTCTATGGGATCGTCGCAACGCCTCTCGCGCGCGCGACTGTGATCGTGACCGTTGTGGTCGTGAGCGTGATCACCGGGTCAAGAATGGGTGCCGACCTTGGGAACGAGAATGCGACCATCACGCTTCGGGAAGTAAGCACAAGGCGATAAAGCATGCCGATGATGATCGTGCTGGGCAGAAATGGCCACTGTTGATCCGTCCTACGTATACCTAGAGGTGAGCATGCCTGCCAATGCCAATCAGGCCCAGGAATGCGAGAGCCCAGGAATGCTGTAAGACGATCGTGCGTGCCATTGTTGATCGCGTACAGCAATGACCCAAGCACCCCAACGATGATCGGGCCCAGGGATGTAAGGCGATCGCGTGTGCCGATGATGATCATGTGCACGAATGGACCAAACATGCCAACACTGATCGGTCCCGGAATGCAGCAAGGAGGCCATGCATGCCAGGTGTGGGAATGCCCCAGGGTGGCTCATGCGTGCCAATGCTGATCGGTTGCAGGAAGGGCCGAAGGCGATCAACCACAGGAATGCATCAGTGTGATCGTGCGAGACAATGCTGATCGATCACGTGCCTGCCAATGTTGATCGGTCATAGGAATGCCCCAAGCCGATCGGGCGTGCCTGTTCTGATCGGGCCCAGGAATCCCCCTGCATGCCAATGTTGATTAGTGACAAGAATGACCAAGGTGATCGTGCGTACGTCCCAACGCTGATAATCGATCACTGACCTAAGCGCGCCAGAACTGAGAGGGCCCTGAAGGCGATTTTGCTTCCGTGTCTTCCGAATGGGGATGCACTGGGCTTTAATTCCCGCGAGTTTGAGGTTTCCGTAGCACAGTCGTACTTATTGGCAACCTGTTCAATTGATATGGAGTTTGATTTGGGTCCCAAAAGTTCGTGACTTCCGTAGCACAGTGGTAGTGCATCGTACTTATGGGCAAACTGTCATGCGAGGGTCACCAGTTCGAACCTGGTCGGAAGTAACTGCATTTTTCGGACGTTAGGCACTATGTTTAGAGTTTCGTACCTTGCAAGCGTATCAAGCTGCCTGACTAGCCGCCGACCAGCCTTGCCCCTCCGTCTACGGCAATTCTCTCGGCCTGTTGTCGAGGCAGTCGGAGTCTTTGTTCCCAGGAACCTCGTTTCGCTGGCGAGGTCGCCATGTATGCGCAGGAGAACATTGACGAAAGTCTGAACAGCTTCAAACGGGTAGGCCAGGGCAGCCGTAGGCAAGGAGTGGCCGTAGGCCAGGGTGGGGGAGGGAGTGGGGGCCGTAGGCGAGCGGGTGGCTTATGAAAATTGCTAAGAGTACAATTATGCGGTCTGTTGGACAAACGACAAGGTGCCAAGACTGGAAAGATTCAGCTATTGCGGAGAAATTCAGCTATTCTGCAGCTTGACACAGTAGTCAGGGACCTCTCTGCTTGCTTCCATCAACAACTCTGGTCGATCTCATGCGAGCAATGGGATATTAGGTGTAATGGCTAAGAATACAATTATGCGACCTGTCGGACAAACGACAAGGTGCCAAGACTGGAAGTGATCAACTCCAACACCCGCTCACTCTCCCGCTTCTGGACTTCTGCCAACTTCTGAAGCGGCGACGCCAGCTCCTCATTAGCGATCAAGACGTCGCCGTGTATGCGTAGGAACACATTGACGAAGGTCTGAACAGCTTCAAAGTCGCGGTGGGTAGATAATCGCTGCGTCAATGCATGGAGGAAAAGCGCCAGATGAGCCAGGGAGGTGATCGACCGCAGTTCGAGATCAATGGCAGCTGGGGATAGTGACTTGACGTAGCTGAAGAACCCCTCGTAATCTCCATCCTTTTCCTCCTCTTCCAACCGCCTCACGAATTCGCTCTCCACAGCAGTTACCAGACCAGTGGTAAGTCGTCTCTTCCCTCCAGTTGTCTCTGGTGCCTGTTCTTCCAGCGCGAATCGTTGCTCGGTTCCTGGGAGAGTTGGAAGAAAGAACGGTGCCTTCTCAGGAGGCTTGGGCGGCTCCTTTGGTTTATTCCTCTGCTGGATGGTCTCCAGATTGAGGAGTGTTTGCCATCTTGAGCGTGGTAAGAGCGTCAAGGTGACGAGTCCGTCGGCCAACTGTTGAGGAGTCGCGTATATATCTGATGATGGGAGGACCTCGCCTTCCAGCGCTTCAAGAGCTTCAGCTTCGTCGAGACCCTGCATGGACGGAAGATCAAGCTCGATAATATCATCCTCATCCACACTCTTCGTGACCACTTCGGTGAATTGTGCGCGGTTTGTCCTGGACCAGAATCAGAGGGAGCCATCCATGTGAACGCCACTACGTACCACAAGTATAAACCCACACTGTCGGCATGTGATGTGGCAAGGAAATCGGCAGTAGGAGAAAAGGACAAGCTTGTTGCAATGCTGCTGACTCTGAAAGCGTCGATGAGGCGACCAGAGGGTATATCAAACGTGCGAATGGTGGAATCGAGTGAAGTGGTAATAAGCCATCTGGAGTCAGGGGAGAATGCCTTCGTGGTACCGTCAGCCAAGGACTTGACAACGTACTCTGTGGACTCACCAAATCCAATACTTTGCCCCGGAAACCCTTCAGCTCACGAACGGTCCGCTGCGTCTCAATGTCGACAATTCGAACCACGAGATCATCGCAGTTGACTGCAAGCAAGTTGTTGCCCCGATGTAGCACAACGGAAGCCGCGCCGCTCGGAAGGGTAACCACCCGCTGAGGTTCGGTAGTATGGAAATCAAAGAACTGCGAGCCAGGTCAGTTTTGCCTGTACATGGCAAGGAAGCGCACGTACATGGAGCGATCCGGCAAGTGTCGAGACGACCACCACACGGTTTAGCGCGTCCGTTGCAATACCAGTCACGACTCGTTCGGCCGCCTTGCCTTTCTTCTTCTTCCCCCCCTTCACGGGTTTTGTCAAGTCAAACGTCTTCCGCAGGATCCCGCTTTGCAGGTTCCACATTCCAACGCTCCCATCCTCTGTGCCGGCCAACCCAAAGTTTCCGCACGCACTCACGCACACCGTCCTAACACCGCTCACGCTCGGTCCGCTTCCTCTGCTTCCCGCCCCAAAGGTGAACTTGCCCATTCGCTTCTCCAACAGCCACCAGCTGCGAGCCCCTGCTTCGCTGTGCCCGGTCATAACATCATCCCAATCCTTCGCTCGTGTCTCGGAGAAGCTGATGGCAACCGCGGGAGGAAGCTTGAGCTCATCGGCAGATATGTGCATTGCCGATGCCTTCTTCTCAATGGACCCTTGCGACAGCTCGAAGCTGCGAGAATCACGGACGACAGAGACGCAACGCAGGGAGCGATCCGCCGACGCAGTGAGGATGTTCTTGCCATCGTGGCCGTAGTACCGAACGAGGTGAGGGGCACGACTATGCCCGCTACGGCCTTTTAGATATCGAGGAGGGGCGAGGGGTGAATCAAATAGCCATTGCTGAACACTGGGTGAGCCAAGGTGACCAGCACGGGTGTACGTTGTCTTACCTTCACGCTGTTGTCCTCTCCTGCACTTAGAAGAAGAGGCTGACCAGGTACAAAGTACAAAGAGGTCACACCCGCGCCATGCGCTGTTCGAGACAAGTGCACAAGACGAGCCGACTTGGACAGATCCCAAGTCGCTATCTGGCCAGTTGACGAGGCGGTCGCCAGAATGGGTTCGCCGTCTGGTGTCATGTAAGTCGTTGTGGTTCAATCGGCGTCAACTCGGCTCACCTGTGCGGAACGCCATAGCACGAACAGCGCCGCTCGCCATGCTCAACTTCATGACAGCCTCGTCTGACCGAATGTTGTAGATGACAGCTTGTCCGGATGAGAATCCAATGGCAACGACATCGATAGCAGGCGATTGGACCAGTGAGGTTATTGCGGTCGGGGATCCTCCGGACGCGGAGAATCGAGACGTTGGGAAAGTGAAGAGCAACGTCCTTCAATAGCATGAGTATGTATGACAATATCTGGTGTTTGGAGACTTTACCGTGTTCGGATATTCCACAGTTGCAGGGACCCCTGCGCAGAACCGATGAGGACCTTGTTAAGGTAGGTAGCGGGATGGAGAAGATGGGTAGCCGTAAACTCGGCAGGAAAGTCGATGGTCGTATACAAGTCTGGTAAGAAGTGAGTATGCACCACTCATCATAGATGGAAGACTGACCATTCGCAGGCGTGTGCCATATGAAGAGCTTCGTTCCGTCTTCGGACAGGGCAAGGATCTGCGATCCAAAGCAGAGGATCTGGGACAGGCTGACCTCCCCTGGACTGGTGATACGGGCGACCTGGAACAGGTCGGCATGCGCATACACAGCAGACTCGGTATCGACTCACCTCCTTTCCACGGTAATACTTGATGAGGTGAGGACCAGCGGCTGCCCAGATGTAATCCCCATCCGCCGCATCGAACGCTACAGCGGTGATCGGCTTCTCCGCCTCGGGCCCAACGAATAGCAGCCTCATCTTCCCACCCTCCCAGAGAAGCCAACTCTGTCCGATGCATGTCAGGATATGCATGCGAGGCCCTTCTGTGGAGCCTTTGTACGAGCGAATCTGAACTGCCAGGGGGACATGGTTGGTGACGAGACCGAGGGCGCGAAAAGGTGCAAATATGGTCGGCTTTTGACGTGGCTTGCTTAGGGACGTTGCCGAGGTCTTCGGCCTCTTCATAGGAGGGGAGGACGGGTCGTCGACCTCCATCGTTGCGCTTCGGACGAGGAAGACGGTTTCGCAGGCAGAAGCGCTCGTGCAATACTGCAGCCCAAATTTCGACGACTGACGAGGTGGAAGTATTTCATATGGAGTATCTTCGGCTCCGGGAATGAGACCCTTTCCCTCAGGGTCCTCGTCGGTTGAGTTCCGCTTTTCCAGGTCGCGTCGGTTCAGCACGAGATGCTCAAGGTTGCACGGGCTCGCCCATGGCGAGCCGCCTGCACACAGAGCCTGCGCACTCACAAACGCCATGTCCATACACCTCGAACTATTACTGTTCTGGGCGAGACATACCCGACGGACGACTATACCAACCTCCCACCGACGATCGCCGCTCTCCTGGAACGGCGACTGCACGTCACGCCTCCCCACCCTCTCAACACCATACGAAAGCTCATCGCTTCTCATTTCGAGGGGTTCAAAAGCTACGACAACCTCCCGGCGGTCGTGACGCCCGAACTCAACTTTGACTCTCTGGGCTTCCCACCAGACCATCCTGGACGAGCACGAGGGCAGAGCTACTACATCAACCGCGGGGTCATGCTGCGTACCCATACGAGCGCACACGAGGTGGACATCTACCGGGAGACACCGAGAAGCGGGGGATGGCTCTGCACGGCCGATGTGTACAGGCGGGACGAGATCGATCGCAGCCACTACCCTGCGTTCCACCAGACCGAGGGTGCGAGGCTCGTCAACGTCGCCGACATGGACAAGCTAAAGGCGGAGAATGAGGAGCTGCGCCGAGGGCTCTCAGCCTCACGCATCATCATGGAGGACTGTCCGGACTTTGACGCCATCACGAACCCCCTGCAGGCCTCCCACTTGCCAGAGACGGTCCTCCCGGTCGCACAGAACCTCCGGCTGCGAATCACAACCCTCTTCATGTCCATCTTCCCTCCCTCCACCACGCCCCTGCACGTCCGATGGACCCCCGACCTCTTCCCCTGGACCTCGCCCTCCTACCAGCTAGAAGTGCGGTACCGCGATGGGTGGCTCGAGCTGCTTGGCTGCGGCATCGTATTAGACGACACGATCGCGCGATCTAGCCACGACCCGGCCTCCGAGCGCAGCTGGGCGTTCGGCATGGGCCTCGAGCGGATCGCGATGCCTTTGTTTGGCGTGCCGGACATCCGCCTGTTCTGGAGCAGGGACGAGCGGTTCTGGAAGCAGTTCAGGGACGGCGAGCTGAGGACGTTTCAGGAGTTCTCAAAGTACCCGCCGAGCGAGCGGGACGTCGCGTTCTGGCTCCCCGTTGGCGTGGCCAAGCCGCATG